TTCCCCCCCCCCCGAGACCTTAGTAGTAAATATAAAAATTACCAACACATTGCCCAGTCATGTGCCCTAGCCACAAAGTGATTCAACAGATTGTATGCCAAGATTATTGATTTTTATTACTTAAATTTTTAACTCAAAAGTTCTACCATTGCCCTGACTGGTTTGGCTCAGTGGATAGAGCGTCGGCGTCGGCCTGTGGACTGAAGGGTCCCGGGTTCGATTCCAGTCAAGGGCATGTACCTTGGTTGCAGGCACATCCCCAGTGGGTGGTGTGCAGGAGGCAGCTGATCAATGTTTCTCTCTCATCAATGTTTCTAACTATCCCTCTCCCTTCCTCTCTGTAAAAAATCAATAAAATACATTTTTTTAAAAAAAGTTCTACCATAGAAATCATGCTAAATATGGTCATTAGGTTCCCAAGGCAAGCCATAATACCTCTGGAAGTATCAAGTGGTTGAAATAAAATAAACCCAAAAGGCAAACAGAACAATCTTTTGTACAGGAATAATGAAGCCCAACAGAACTGAATGGGAAAAGACATAATACAAGGTTGAAAGCATCTACTTTTTTCTCTTTGTTTGGACTTGGGTTGGTTTCCCTGTTTGGTGAAGCCTCCCAATTGCACTCCGTGCCTTCCCTCTCAACTCCACACATTTTATCCCTAAGTTGTTAGAATGATGTACCCCAAACCAAATACGATTATGCGGTGGCTTCATTTAGACACCTTCTCATGACAGCCCCTTGCCTGCTGGATAGAGAGCCTCAATTCCTTAGCATACCAAACAAGGACTTCACATTCGCACCCTCGCCTAATCTCCAAGGAAAGAGAACACTGCATTCCTGCAACAGACTAGGTTTCATTTCCTAGTTTCACCCTTCAGCACCAGATGTTCTGCCTACTCATTGTATCCCAAGTCACCGTGGATCAGTCGGGCTCTCCCGCATCTAGGCTGAGTCTCAAGCCTCTCACTGCCTCCCTTTTCCAGGCAGCAGAGGCTGAAACCTGGCGATCGGAGGGTTCAAGGGACCGCCCCGCTCCCAAGTCTTCCCGCCCCAGGCCCCCATCTCCTCTCAGTCCTGGGACTGCGTCCCCCCACCCCCGGCGGATCCCAGCCCAGCTTAGTCTCTATCGGGGCGGAGGGCAAGAGG